CCCCGCGTCCGCAGAGCGGGTTCGGTCTCGGGGGACATCAACATAAGAGGCCCTGCTTCGCGCCTGGAGTAAAGCTGAAGGGGCGGCTGTCCAGCACATGAGGCCCCAAATAGGTGGTGAAATGGATTGGGGAGTTTAGTTGTTCCATCGCTGTTGAGGGAGAAGGAAAAGAGAAATGAGAGGTCAGTGGCACAAGTCAGCAACAATCCTCCATGGCCAGAAAGTGCTGCTGAGCTCTGGATCCAGCAGCAGGAAAATCTAAACACGAAAGGGGTGCGCCGGTCAGCGGGTCTGATGCTTCCTTCTGAGGCGTACTTTGGGAGACAGAGGATGTGGTCACTCAGTGTCTGCCCGTCCACCTCTGGCACCTGAAGTCTTCAAGAACGATAGGTCTCACAACCTCCTTCCCCACCCAGTCCCTCTTATGGTCTCTGCAAATCCCTCTTTCTGCTCTTCCCCACTTTGAGCAATCGTTCATTCTACCTGTCTCTAACCAGGAGAGCGATCTGTATGTTAGGAGATTCTTTTTTAAAATTTAATTTTAATTGTACAATGGGTTTTATTGCGATATTTCCTCCTTGCATATAATGCACTTTGATCAAATTCACTCCCTTGATTACTTTTGTTGGCAATAATGGCGCCGATAGGTTTCAGTTCTTACTGCACCCTTAAGCTTCTGTTTTCTAGGGTCATGGTCCTGCCTCAGGTCTAGCTTGAATCCTCCTTCTGCCCCAACCTCCAATCAGCATGAACCATAAGATCCCAACCAATCAGATCATGCTGAGTCTCACTGAGGGGGGTATTTAAGCCGCTGCCCTTCCTGCTTCTCTCTCTCTGCTCTCTCCCTCTCCCACCCAGCAATAAAGAATCTCTTGGCCAGATCACTCCTCTCCATGTGGTCATTTTGGGGCTTACATTTCCAACAACTTTCTTATCTCTTTACAGTTTTGATTGTTTCATTGTTCTATTTTCAAGCATACATATACACCCTCTCCTTTTGCCCTCCCTCTTCCAATGGCTCCCCAACGAAAACATAGGTGACTGTTTTACATTCATATCTGTTTTGTTTTATTTTTGTTTTTTTATTTGAGGCCAAGCGCATGTACTTGCTAGGCAGCTGTTCTACCATTTGAGCCACTCTGCCAGCCCGTTTGTTTTGTTTGGGTCTAGATTCTGACCTTGAGAGAAAACATGGGATGTTTGCCTTTATGAGTGTGGCTTTTTCTACAAATAACACAATTTAATTCTTTTTCAATGGCTGAATAATACCTCATAGGGTATATATACCACATTTTCTTTATTCATTCATCAGTTGATGTGTACCTAGGCTTTTCCATTGCTTGGCTATGTGAATAGTGCTGCTGTAAACATGGCGTGCAGGTATCGCTTTTTGTATGCTGACTTAGATTCCTTCAGGTATATCCCAGGAGTGACATTGCAGGTACATTTTTAGTTTTTGACGAACCTCCATATTGATTTCCACAGTGGCTGCACTAATTTTCATTCCCACCAACGGTCTGTAATGAATGGTCCCCTTTCCTTGCCATCCTCACCACTAGTTGCTGTTTTTTGCTTTCTTGGTGATTGCCATTATGACTGGGATGAGGTGGAAGCTCAATGATATTTGGAGCTGCTTTTCTTTTATGGCCAAGGATGTTGAATGTTTCTCCATGCATTTATCAGCCATTTGTACTTCATCTGAGAACTGTCTGTTAGGAAGTTCTTCACCTTTCTGTGCTGTATCAGTCCAGTGCACTCCCACCTACGCTTTGGGTGGCTAGAGCATTTTGACCTGTAAACCTGAAGGTCTCTTCACATCTGCTGGAATAGTCCAGTGTGTCTGGCAGGACTCCTACCTGGAGAGGGTGAGTCTGGATTATTTTATTTTCTAAAAGTCACCCTAGAAATTGCAGAGAAAAAAATTATATTTTGGTTTTGATAACCAGAGAAGCTGTTATCAGTAACAACAGTCAGTAGTTAGTTCTAGGTAGGGATCACCCCCACTCCTGGGGAAGTATGGAGGTTGTCTCCATGACAGCTGGAGTGGGTCCTCTACTGGCCAATAATGCTGGGACCAGGGATGTTAAACACCCCATAGGGCACAACACACCTGTCCAAACTCTAGCAGCAAGTCTTGTGCAGAAACACTGGTCAAATAGAATCCCTAAAATCCTGCTGTCTGGCTCTGGAATGCCTGATGTATTTCCTGACTTTGGAGAATGAGTTCTAATTTGTCCTTTACTTAATCATCACATGACCTGGGAAATACCTCTCAACCTGGAGCTCCAGGGGCCTTACTGTAAATTGCTGATAACAACACCTACCTAGAGGGACAGGGAGGGAATGAAACAAAGAGGGAAAAATGACAGGAAACAGTAAAATTCAAATGTAGGGAATATTATAAGAGAGAAAAACAGGAAATCCTTCCTCACTACTGAAATGAGCTCTTACATGCTTCTGGTTATTACTGAACCTAACTGGGCCTAACTGGGCCTAACTGGGCAGTGACAGGAGATGCAGAAAGGACAAAGGATAGACAGACAGACAGAAAGTTAGGGCCAGGTGTTCTAGGCGCTTAGATGGAGATGCACAGCAACCTCATTACTTCTTTTCTCTATTATTCTCTTCATTTACTCTGCTTCTTTTCTCTATCTTTATTCTTTAAGGTCTTACTCCTTTACAGTTCTTTAAAATCTTGCCTCTAAAGTCTTCTTTAAAACCTTGCTCCACTATTCTTTAAAACCTCTTTCCTTAGACTCACTCTGTCCCATGTTTTCTCTTAGTTTTTCTTTAGCATAATCTCTCTTAAAGTCTTTGCCCCAGACTTGCACTCTGCACTGCCCATGTTCTTTTTAGCTTAGCTTTTTTAAAGTCTATGTATAAAGTTTTCCTTCAGTAATCCTTTTCCCTTCAGCAATCCTCCCTTCAGCAATTTCCCTTCAGTCATTCATTTCCCCCTTCAGCAATCTCCCTCCAGCACTTTCCCTTCAGCAATTCATTTTCCCTTCAGCAATCCTTTTCCCTTCCAAAGCCTCCCACATCAAAAAGCTCCCTTCATCCAAAAGCCAAAAACCAAAAGCCCAAAAGCCAAAAGTCCAAAAGCCTTGCATCCTCCTTCAGTGAGTCTTTTATACCCAGTGGTAAAAAAGGTGGAGCAGCAGTTCTCAGGGAGGGGTGTGACGTTGTAACAGGAGAAACCTGCATTCTACCTCTCTGAACATAAACAACTTAGGAAAAGCAGCTGTTCTGCATTTTCCTTTTCTGTGGCTGGGGCTATGTCGATCTCAACCTGCAGAACATTGGGTACAGCTACACTAATGTCCAGTTCTCATAGGCTTCTCATAATCCACTCTCCACACACTACCTCTTGGGAACATATGGATGTTGCTGCTTATGAAATGAGTAAGGTATCCTGAACCTTGAACTAAAGATACACTGATAAGCAGTAGATTGTTGTTGATATGTTCTTTAGTCTCTTTTAGTTTGTACCTTTTCTCCTTTCCCCCCATCAAATATCAAGTGTCTTTTTATTTGAGTATATTGATTGTACAAAGGCTCCAACAAGTTTTGTTTTTTTTAATGAAGAAACCTAGTTCTTTGCCCTGTGAATTCTTCCAAACTGGGATCATCAGACTGCATCTCCATGGTGTTTTTAAAGTGATTCTGATAAATGAGGATCAAATGGGTTTTAGATTGGTTACTTTTAGGTACTTTTTTTGAATAAAGTAAAAAAAAAATAAGTTTTATTATTTCCAGAAAAAACAGTATAAGTTTATATTGATTTTCCTATTCAAACTGAAGATTATTATGCATTTTTCTCTTCTTTAATGTCATATTCATAAAAATATATTAGAAACATTGATATAATTTATTATTTGCTTTATCCTACTGTGTGTATATACACAGACCTAATAGGTTCAGAATAACAACAGTAATGCTATTATTACTGATATAACTGAGAAGTTAAGAATTATTTGGAATTATTTTGTCCTTAAGACACACCCTGCTAGGGACAGAGTCAAATCTCTGCATTTCAAAGTTTCTATTTTCCTTTTTTTGGAATGGGAGTCCTATGTTTCCTGGACAAGTCTTAACTTTTGTGCTCAAGTGATCCTCCTGCCTCACCCTTCTGAGTGGCTGCAACTACAGGCCCACACCAAAGGCCTGGCTGAAATCATTTAAAATAACTTCTCTCTGCTGTGTAAATGCCAACTGCACAGACAGATTCATTTTGTCTCATTTAATTATAATGATGCAAAATATTTACATGGGATCAAAGTCAAATGTACAAGACACATTCAAAAAGGCTGATTTCCACTTAGGAAACTTTTTATTAGGTTTGGTTTATTCTCCTAATTAAAAAGGGAAATATAAACAAACAAGCATGCATACATACAGATCTTTCCCTGTACTGCAGGTTGAACTCAGGGCTTTGCACTTGAGTTCTCTACAACTTGAGCCACTCTGCCAGACATATTCCTCTTTTTTCTTATATGAATGTAGCATACCGTGTGCATGGCTCTCCACCTTAAATTTCATCCAAATTTGAAGACCATTCTGCAATATACAGTCCTAATTTGCAAAATGGTGTTGGATCGGGTTTGGCTAATTCTGAAGAGTCAAAACGTCATGGTTTTCAGGTCTCAGGAAAGGATGGGGTCTAGATGGGCCCAGGCCATTTTCAGAGTCACAGAACTGCAGAAAATGAGGTGGAGGAGAAAGGAACCACCTGGGGTCAGCTGTTCAGTCCCCTGCATCTGTATCTGAGTCAGGATGCAGCTGGATTCCTTCTCATCGTGGCTTTTTCAACCTTTACCTGTTGATGGATGTTGAGTTGCTTCCTGCCTTATCCTGTTACAAACAGTGCTGTAGTGAATAGCCTTGTGCATAGTCTTGTTGGGTATTGAGACTTTCTTTTCAACTCGGCATATGGAAGGGGAGGAAATGTGTAAAACCTACATCAGGAAGCCTCGCTCAACCCTACCAGCTGCAGCACAACTCTAGGGACTCAGGGTGATCTGAGTGCCAGGCAACAGGAGCTGGAAAAAGGGAAAGATCTGCCCAGGGAAGAGGTGTGGAAGGTGTAAATGTGATTGCTGGTGGTGGCATCATAGAAGACGACCTTCCTGCAGTTGTGATCCACGTGGACGCCCACTTTCCTCGGACGGATGAGATTTCCTGGGGTTCCTCTCTCATTGAGGGCTTGACGGGTGGAACCATATATGAGCAATGCCCAAAAGTCTGACAAGGGTTCCAGAGTCAGATAGCCCTGTCTGCTGACTAGCTCTGAGGCCACGCCCACCACACAGGCCCCGCCCAGGGGCCCTTGGAGCTCCGCCTCCCAGGCCTGGTACCCTGAGGAAAAGCCAGGTAAGCCCTAAAAGCAGCAGACAGGGTAGAAGCACCTGGGGTCAGCGGGCTCTTTCGAACCACTAGAAGGTTCAGAGTACAGCATCACTGTCTTCAGATCTTCAGAACAGTTGAGGTTTGGGTGGGCAGAAGTCACAACCAGGGTCATAGAGGCTGTGAGAAGATAAGGAAAAGTAAGAGTGATAGCCTCCCGAAGTTGCCCAGCCCCTACTTTTCCTGCTTCCTTTGATGCAGCTGGGGGGAGGCTTTCTCATCCCAATCACAGCTCAAATTCCCAGAGAAGTCCCAGGCCCTGTCCTCTCCTTAAAATTAATCTGTAGTTTCACTATGTCTGTCCTGTAGGTGCAAAGGGGACCTGTTGGCAATAATGGCATAGATGGGTTTCAGTTCTTACTGCACCCTTAAGCTTCTGTTTTCCAGGGTCACAGTCCTGTCTCAAGTCTAGCTTGAATTCTCCTTCTGCCCCAACCTCCAATCAGCATGAACCATAAGATCCTAACCAATCAGATCATGCCAAGTCTCACTGAGGGGTATTTAAGCCCCTGCCCCTCTCTCTCTCTTTTTTGGCTCTCTCCCTCTCCCATCCAGCAATAAAGAATATCTTGGCCAGATCACTCCTCTCAGTGTGGTCACTTTGGGGCCTACATTTGCCTTCATTTGGTGCCTTGACTCGGATTGGGTTTCCCCACTAATCCTGGTGGGACCCTGATTCTGACTCACCCCACGACCACCCTGAGGACGAGACTGGCCAGGACTCATCCTCCTGATTGCCCTCCTCGCATCCAACACCAGACATTCTTTGGTGAGTCCACATACCCTTATTGGGCTCCCTTTATGGTCTCTCCCTTTGGTGTCTCCAGGATTCCAGCGTCCCCCCCTTTCCGATCATCTCTGGGGCTCAGACGGTAGAGGAGAGACCTCTTTCCCAATTAGCCTTGGCTTGGGTCTATCTTTGTCATTCTCAGTCTCAGAGGCCGCCCTCCGAAAATCCCAGCACCGGGTGACCCACAGCCCCCTCGGCCTTTTGACCCTACAAGCCACTAGAATGCAGTAATGACTGCTTCTCGTGCGTCTTTTACCATTCTCGGATATTTGAGCTGCGTGGGGATGCCCCGCGATTCATAATATCCTCCCAACCCCTTTTTGGGACCAGGTCCCAAAATGGGGGCCTCATCCTCTTTGTCATCTGACTCCCCACTAAAATGCCTCCTCAATAATTTAGACACCTTGGGTTTGACCCCACATATAAAACCAAAAAATTTGATCCGCTTTTGCACTCAAATCTGGCCCACTTACTCTTTAGACAACCAAAGTCACTGCCCCTTTTCGGGTCTCTAGATCCCAATCTCCTGAGGGACCCATATAACTCCTGTGAGTGATTGGGATGATGGGAGAGATTCCATATGCCCAAGCTTTTCATACCTCTGTCTAAATCTGGCTCTCTGCACCACTTGGAAGCCGAAACATGTACTTCTTGCTCTGATGCCCTCAACCTCAACCTCCACCCTCTCTTCAGATTTTGACCTGGCCGATGAACCTCCTCCATACTGCTGACAGGCTCTGCCCAATCCTCCTCTTCCGCAACCTGCTCCGTCATCTTTAATGGCTCCTCCACTTCCTTCTTCTTCATCTCCTTCATCGCCACCACCTCCTACCCCCACTGCACCTTCTGCCCCTTCTCCTCCCTCCCCCTCCTTCAGCCCCCTGTTACTCGATCACACACACTCGCTGCCCAGCCTCCCCCCCTTCCCTCCTGGCACCCCTTCGGGAGGTAGCTGGATCAGAAGGAATTGTCAGGGTCCATGTCCCCTTCTCCATGCTTGATCTCTCCCAAATTGAAGCCCGCCTGGGCTCCTATACAACTAACCCCTCAGCCTATGTCAAACAATTTCAGTATTTACTCCAGTCTTACAGCCTAACCTACCATGATATATATATATATATCATTCTCTCTAATACCCTCCTACCCGAGGAACGTAGAAGGGTTTGGGAACAGGCTTGCACATTGCAGATGATGTCCATCAGACAACTCCCTCTCACCCTACAGGTGCCCTTGCGGTGCCTGACCATGATCCCAATTGGGACTACAATACCCAGGCTGGACTTACCCTCTGGGACCAATTTGCCACCTGCCTCCTGGCAGGACTAAAACGGGCATCACAAAAGGCCATTAATTTTGAAAAACTCCAGGAAATTATCCAGGATAGAACAGAAACCCCTGCCCCCACCTTCCTAGACAGGTTAACCAGGGCTCTCCAACAATACACTAACATTGACCCAGAATCCACAGACAGTAGACAACTCCTTATGACTTATTTTTTCTCCCAAAGTTACCCTGACATTAGTGCAATCGATAGAGGCCCCCTCACTCCTCAGACTGAGGTACTGGCAACCGCCTTCAAAGTGTTCCACTCCCAGGATGAAAAGGTGAAATGCCAAAAATACCAGATGTTGGCTCAGGCTATGAGAAGCCCAAACCCTGAACCTGAATGGGGAAATCAACACCCACCAAACAGGAGCCCACCAGGCCCCTGTTTCAAATGTGGAAAGGAGGGACACTGGGCCAGATTCTGTCCTTATCCCAGGATGTCACCTCGGCCTTGCCCTAGATGTCATGCTCATGGGCATTGGGCGACTGATTGCCCCGGCTCCTGTTGGGGGCTGGATCAAACTCTCGCTCCAGTCCCAACCTCATAGGGCTAGCAACAGATGATTGAAGGGGCCTTGAGTCTTCCCTCCCAGTGACTACCATCTTGTTTCTGGAGCCCAAGGTAAGCCTTTTGGTTGATGGATGCCCCATCTGCCTCCTCTTGGACACCAGTGCCACTTTCTTGGTCCTGACAGAGTTTTGGGGGGCCACCAGCCCATCACAAACCCCTATTGTCGGGGTGGGGGGGACAAACCATTTTTCCCAGAAAGACTCCCATGCTTTCCTGCTCCTTTTCAGGTCATCCTTTTGCCCACCAGTTTTTGTTCATGCCCCAGTGTCCCACCCCTTTGCTGGGAAGAGATATCTTAACCAAATTCCAGGCCTCCATCTCATTTAACCTCAGAGCTATCCCTTTTCTTTCCCTTGTGGCTATGGATGGTCCCTCTGATTCCGCCAGTCAAACCCTCCCTTCGGGGGTGGACTCTAAAGTATGGGACACTGACAGTCCTTCTCTGGCAACTTGTCCTCCCATTAAGATCCCCTTATAGGACCCTCACCACTTTCCGTGCCAGCCTCAGTACCCTCTCCCTACTTCCAGTCTGCTGGGGTTACAACTAATCATTGCTGATTTACTCCACAAGGGGTTCCTCAGACCCACCCATTCCCCATACAACTCTCCCATCCTAGCTGTAAAAAAGCCAAATGGCACCTACCACCTTGTCCAAGATCTTAGACTCATCAATAATGCTGTTAAACCTATACACCCCCTTGTCCCTAACCCTTCACCATTCTTTCTTCTATTCCTGCCTCCTCCACTCACTTCTCTGTCCTTGATCTCAAGGATGCCTTTTTTACCATTGCCCTCTCCCCCGAGTCACAGGACATTTTCACCTTTACCTGGACGGACCCACACACACATCACTCACAACAACCACCTGGACGGTCCTCCCTCAGGGATTTAGGGGTAGCCCACATCTGTTTGGACAGGCACTTGCCAAAGATCTCAGGGACCTCCACCTCTCTAGGTCTACCCTCCTCCAATATGTAGATGATCTACTCTTGTGTAGCCCTTCTCTGGGCATCTCTCAATCTGACACCACTCTACTCAAACTTTCTGGCTGACAAAGGATACCAGGCTTCCCTCCATAAGGCCCAACTTTCCCAAGTTACAGTCACATACTTGGGAGTTCAGTTATCCCATGACTCCAAGGCAATTACTCTGGACAGAAAGCAGCTCATCTGGGAAATACTGGCTCCCAAGACAAAGGAGGAAATACTTTCCTTTTTGGGGCTGGCCAGATACTTCCGTGTCTGGATTCCCAACTCTTCCCTCTTGGCAGCCCCCATATATGATGCCACTAAGGAAGACCCCTCTGAACCCCTACTTACTTCTGTCAACACCCCTTTCTGGCACCTTCCACAGGCACTTCTCCAGACCCCGGCCCTCCACTTGCCAGATACCCAAAAACTGTTCACCCTCTATGTCCATGAAAATAAAGGCTTAGCCTTGGGAGTTCTGGGTCAGGACAAGGGTCCAACATTTGCCCCGGTAGCATATCTATCAAAAAAAACTTGACTCCACAGTCCAGGGATGGGCCCCCTGTCTACGGGCCTTGTCAGCAGCCTATGTTCTAGTTCAGGAAGCAAAAAATCTTACTTTCAGAGGGTCAATCACAATCATTTCCCCCATCACCTGGTGGAACTCCTGACATATAAGGGCTTAAGAACCCTTCTCCCTTGCCAGATCTTGTTGCTTCTTGTCTCCTTCCTCCATGACTCCTCCATTACTCTCCGTGCTTGCTCTTCCTTAAATCCCGCCACCCTCCTGCCCACCTCTACTGCCATGCCTACCCACTACTGCATCGAGACCCTGGAGGCCCTTCTCCCCTGCCCTTCACACATCCAGGAGGGGCCCCTGCAGGGCTCCACCTACACCTGGTTCACTGATGGCAGCTCATATGTAGAGGGGGGTGTATGGAGAGCGGGTTATGTTATAGTGTCCCTAACCCAAGTCATGGAGGCACAGCCCCTCCCTTCCAGTACCACCAATCAACAGGCTGAACTGTTTGCAGTTACAAGGGCCTTTGAGCTGGCAGCTGACCATTCTCTCACTCTATACACTGACTCTAACTATGTCTTCCACATCCTCCTCTCCCACTCAGCTATCTGGAAGGAAAGGGGATTATTAACCATGAGAGGGACCTCTGTCACCAACTCCACTTTCATTACCAACCTTCTCTGGGCCTCTCTCCTTCCTTCTAAGATTGGGATTGCCCACTGCCGGTCCCACCAAATGGATTCATCACCCATAACTATGGGCAATTCTAAGGCAGATCAGGCTGCCTGACAGGTGGCAAGGGAGAATTACTCCACTCTGGCTCTTGCACAACCTCAGGACCAGACTCCTGAACCGGCCCATGAGTCACTCCCTAGACACATTCTCCTTTCGTATTTACACTCCATCTTCCACACTAGCACTCAAAATCTCAAGCTCTTCTTAAATTCATTTTTCCCTCTCACCCCAGAGGATTGCCAATACCTATGCCACCTCACCTCCACATGTCCCACCTGTCAGAGGACTAACCCTCACACCACCTTGAGGCCTGGTTCATTCCCTACTCACCAGGCCAGGGGACAAATCCTGGGGGTGGACTGGCAAGTGGACTTTACAAATATGCCCAGAGTAAGGAAACACAATTACCTTTTGGTCCTAGTAGATACCTTTTTGGGATGGGTAGAAGCCTTCCCAACCTCCAATAAGAGGGCACCAACTGTGGCCTCTATTATTGTAACCCACATCATCCCTAGGTTTGGGATGCCTACCTCCTTCCAATCAGATAATGGCCCAGAGTTCACATCCCAGGAAACACAAACAATTATCAAGGCCCTTAATATCTCATGGCATTTCCATATCCCTTATCATCCCCCCTCATCAGGAAAGGTAGAGCACACTAACCGCACTTTAAAGGAGGTTCTCACTAAACTCACCTTGGAACTACACCTGGATTGGGTTCAACTCCTTCCACTAGCCCTCTTCCGCCTACGGGTACTCCCATGGAAACCCACACAAATATCCCCTTTTGAGGTGATGTTTGGTCACCCAGCTCTGCCTCCAGAAATCACCTCCTTCCCGGGCCCCCTTCTGGGACACTTTTCCTTTCCTCTTCTCTCCTTCATTCGAACCCAGTTATGGCGACACCATGACACCTTATCTCCAGACCCTTCATGCACCCATCTCTCTTTCCCTTTAAACCCAGGGGACTGGGTCTACTTCTCTCCCCCTTTCCCTGAAAAGAAACCCCTTACCCCAAAATGGAAAGGGCCCCTAAAAATCATCCTCTGTACTCCTACCACAGCCCAGTTAGAAGAAACCCCAGGAAAACTAACATCTTGGATTCATATTTCCAGGCTAAAGCCAGCCCGACCCCCCCGGGACATCCAGCAGGACGACCCCAACAGTCCTCCATCTCCACTTCCTGCTTCCTCTCCTGGCTTTGTTTGCACCCTCCCCCTTGGAAACCCCTTAAAACTCCACATCTCTCGGCTTCGTGTTCCCTCCCCCATCCCTAAGGATGTGCATTAACTTCCCCTTTTGTTCTCTGTTCTCAACCTCCTATTTGTGGGTGGGCTGACTAGCACTGGAGGGTACTTCTGGAGATTTCAGATATGGGAAACCTACACCATCTCACAAACTTCTATTACCAGCCTAGTTGGCACTGGTGACTGTCATCCTAAGGGATGTCAGGTCCCTATTTCAATCCCCTTCAAACCCAGGTTTGGTTCTACCCTAAGGAGTGGCTCCTTTGCATTTGCTTGCCCTTTCTTCACCCAAACAAAAAATTACTGTAAAAGGGAAGCAAAACGGACCCAGGGGTATGGGGGATGTCCCTATTGGTCTTGTCAGGTCCACTGGGTACTAGGATCAAAGGGACCAGACAACCAATTTCACCTTTATGTGGGAAAAAATGGGAATACCATGCTCCACATCCCTGACCTATGGGACAACAGATGGGTTCAGGGTGAACAGGCAGCCATTTATGCTCAGGGTGACTCCTCAAAACCCTTGGCTCACATTATGATATCCAGGGAGCTAACCCTTCCAATTACCACTCAAAAGGAGGTCGCTACTAATGTTCTACAATCTGAACAAAACTTACATAAATCCCTTCACCAGCCCTCCACCCCCCCAACCTGGCTCCAACTGTTCCAGGCCTCACTACAACTCCTAAACTTGACCGTGCCCATTAATGTCACTGACTGCTTTCTTTGTGCCTCCCTCCAGCATCCTTTACTGGCCGCAGTTCCCATTAATGTTTCATCTTCTATCAGAGCTTCCCCTGCCTTGCAGAACTTCTCATGTGCTCCTCCCTTGCCCTCTGTACCTTTATGGGAACCTGAATTTACACCAGGTCCTCCTCCCACATACACCTACTATGTCCAGTCCTCAGCACCTCGGTCCAACTTTTCTCTTTCCTGTCATACAAATCTTGCAATTGCAGAACAACTGGCATCCCCCCCGGGGCTATATTTCTGGTGCCACAACACCCTACACTCCTGCATAGCTCAAGCTACTCCTGGGCCCTGCACACTGGTAGTTATAGTCCCCCAACTCACTCTCTACAGGAAAGCTGAATTCTCCCTCCTATTTGGCGCTCCACCAAAACGTGCTGCCTTCTTGCCCATCATGGTTGGTATAAGTCTGGCACCTCCATTGTTGCCGCAGGCTTCGCGGGGGGGAACCCTTGGCCATAGTTTTATTTCAGCAAAAGACTTTGAAGATCACTTACAGATCACCCTCAAGTCCACCTCAGCCTCACTGGCTTCCCTTCAACGTCAGCTCACTTCTCTAGCCCAGGTGGCCCTACAAAATCGCAGGGCCCTAGACCTCTTAACAGCTGAAAAAGGGGGAACCTGCTTCTTCCTCCGGGAGGAATGTTGCTACTATGTCAATCAGTCTGGGATTGTAGAACAGAATGTCAAAAAATTAATAGACTTGGCCGAGGACCTCCTAAAGAGACCCACTAAAAACACCTTAACCGACCTACTAAACTCTCCTCTCGTCACCTGGCTCCGGCCTTTTTGGGCCCTTTGCTCATGCTCGTTACTCTATGCACTCTCCTACCCTGTTTACTACAATTTCTCAGATCCCAGGTAAACAAAATCTCTAATCAAACTTTCAACCAGCTTCTCCTCCAAGGATACCAACCCCTCATAGCTCAACCAGAGGACACCTATGATGGATCCTACCGGGACAATGGGTTATAAGCATCATGGACCCCTCACAGAACACCTGCTTCAATTCCTCGACTCCCTACACGAAGATGGATGGCTATTACCCACCATACGGAGCTTGGAGGAATGGCTCAAAACTCTTTATGACCTATGGCTACAAGGGACCTTCATCAACTTCAGGGAAGAGGAAATTTTCATTTTCGGAGCCTGAGTGTATGCCATCACGAGACTCACCACCCCAACATTGTTTGCCAACTAACCCTCCCTGCCCCTACGCCGGCCCTTGCCAGCTCGAAGAAGCCAGAGTGAACACAACGCCCCCCTTCTTTAACAAACAAAAAAGGGAGGAATGTTGGCAATAATGGCGCCAATGGGTTTTGGTTTTTACTGCACCCTTAAGCTTCTGTTTCCCAGGGTCACGGTCCTGCCTCAAGTCTAGCTTGAATTCTCCTTCTGCCCCAACCTCCAATCAGCATGAACCATAAGATCCTAACCAATCAGATCATGCTGAGTCTCACTGAGGGTATTTAAGCACCTGCCCTCTCTCTGTCTCCTTCTTGGCTCTCTCCCTCTCCCACCTGGCAATAAAGAATCTCTTGGCCAGATCACTCCTCTCCACGGGGTCACTTTGGGGCCTACAATTGTGGGTGTCATTTCAAAAATGAGACCATCTCTTTCTTCCTTTTCCAGGGGTTCTCTGATTCCCATATGGAAAACAAGAGTTGGGCCTTGTAGGAGAAGTCCAGGCTCAGACTTTCTGAGCTCAAGAAATTTTCTTAAGTGGGTCGCTCAAACACAAGAAAGAGGGGGAGGGTTAGAATACAGAAGGAGGAATATTCAGACCCTCCCGCCCCACTTTTATTAGGATTCAGACATTGAGTCACAATTTATCAAGGTTAGGATGGTCCCCTCCTACCTTCCTGTCTTTGGTAAACAATTAGGAATGGGGACCTCATTCTGTCCTCTGATTTATGTAATCCCAATGTTTGGTGCGATATTACTTTTCCCTGATGGCTGTGAGGGTTGGAAGAGATGGAGGATGTGGGGAAGTGCTACAGTGGTCAGGTTCATGGAGACTGATTTGAGTCGTAATCCAGGCAAGCTTTACTCATCTCTGGCCCCCATGCACAGCTGAACTGTTAAATAGTTGTTTAAAAGTAGTGTGGGGGAGGAGATAGGAAACCAGAGGCAGATAGTTATAGGGACTTCTTTTGTCCACTAGGGAGCACCCAGCCAAAGACATAAGGTGGAGTGCGGGGAGAGCCTGCGGTCCTGGGTCGTCTTCCTTCCATTTTGCTCGAGAACGCGATCACGTCACCTCCAGGTCTTCACCACCACCGCTCCATCTCCACTGTCGGTACCCAGCCTCTCCCCGACGCTCCGCTCGCTCCACCCAACTCTGCCTAATAGGAGCCCCACCAGCCTTCAGCCACTCACTCAGTGCAGCCTGGACGTCCTCAGTGCCCCCCGCGTCCGCGTCCGCAGAGCGGGTTCGGTCTCGGGGACCTCAACATAAGAGGCCCTGGTTCGCCCTGGGAGTAAAGCTGAAGGGGCGGCTGTCCAGCACATGAGGCCCCAAATAGGTGGTGAAATGGATTAGGGAGTTTAGTAGTTCCTGGTGGTTGAGGGAGAAGGAAAAGAGAAATGAGAGGTCAGTGGCACAAGTCAGCAACAATCCTCCATGGCCAGAAAGTGCTGCTGCGCTCTGGATCCAGCAGCAGGAAAAGGCTAAACAAGAAAGGGGCGAGAGGTAGGATGCTGGTGTTTCCTGGGAGACGTACTTTGGGAGGCAGAGGAGGTGGATGAGATGCCTGCCCCAACCCCATATCTGCCCAGGCCACCTCTGGCACCTGAAGTCTTCAGGAACAATAGGTTTCACAAACCTCCTTTTCCCACTCCCAGCCCCTCTGATGGTCTCTCCAAATTCCTGTTTCTGCTCTTTTTCCATTCTCTTTTTCCTTTTCTATTTTTTCCTGAGTTTTCCTGGTTTGCTAAATAAATCTTTGCTGCCCTGACACCTTGTGAGAGTCCTTTTTGTGGAACCCTTTGGAATGCTTCTCATTTTGAATTTCAAAGACCTTAATTCTAATAGCAATTGGGAAATTGGGTAGCAAACTTGCCTCTGTTATTGGAGTGTTCTCATTCCAACCTTCTCCACTAATGCAAGCCTCCACTCTGGCTATCACAAGAGCGTTAGAGATGCAAACAAGTAGCACATGATAAAGAAGAGAGCAAGAAATCCCTGAGAGGAAGCAAAGAGCCTGACACTTAAAATTTTTTTTGGTGGTATTGGAACTTGAATTCAGGGTCTCATGCTTGCTAGGCAGGAACTCTACCACTTGAACCATTCCTCCAAGCCAAGCCTGACATTTTAATGGCTCAGTGATTATTATTGGCATCTATGAGTTAAAGATCAGTTTCTATTGGGTGACAGGGAAAGAACCCTCTGGAGGTAAGTGAGTGGAGGTGGTGACAGCCCTTTCCTTACCTTTGAATTCCTTCAGGCTCTCTATGATGGACTTGTTACTTGATTTTGCTTCACTGAGTTTTTTCTCCAGGCTGGGAGGAAACATGGTTGGTCTGAGAAACTGAAATTCTCTACTCCTATGAAGACATGGTTGATGAGCTAAGAGGATAGGTTATGGGGGAGGGAGGACCTATGACCTAGGCATGTGAGATGGAGACCAGGGTGGGGGGGTGTGATGCTAGTAAGGAGGTAGTGAGCTAAAGGAGGCCAGGTCTAGGGATATGGGGGGGCAAGTGAATCAGTACATAACGAGATATGGAAATGAAGATGGTAGATGGAGGCAGAGAGGACAGAAGGGAAAGGGGACAGAGATATTGAATAAGGGACTCAGTACCCCACCCACTTGAGCAAAGGTGCACTAGGAAGTACTAGGAAATGGACTCTGCGCTGGAGACAACAGCTGATCTTTATACAAGCCAACCCACATGCACATGTATCAACTCAGTCTTTCCCAACTGCAGCCTCAATACTTGGTTGCAAAGAGAGTGTGGGTGTTTGTGAGGGGGGAATGTTTGGATATATGTGAGTGCTGTATTCATGAGTCAGTAAGCACAATGCACTTGGGTTGGCCCATGATACCTGCACAGGATTGCTTTGATGTCCTGGAAGAGAAAGAGTCAGTACTGCCTCAGTGCATGGCTGAATCATGGGAGCCAAGGAGGAGGTTTAGACTCTACTGGAATTTCTCTTTCTCTCTCTCTCTCCTCTCTCTCTCTCTCTCTCTCTCTCTCTCTCTCTCTCTCTCTCCTTCACTCTCTCTCTGGCTCTCTTCCCACCCCACCTACCGTGGAAGGCTTCTTCAAGAAGCACCCAATACACCAGTAGACAGGACAGTAGTTAGACCTCAAGAGGAACTGAATGAAGAGGAGTAGACAGGGGGGAGAAATGTATGCACATATGAATAATAAAAGAAAAAAAAAGAGAGGAGTAGAAAGAGGACTATTCGGTTTTGTTTTGTTTTGTTTATTTTGGTGGCACTGGGATTTGAACTCAGGGCCCCACACTTGCTTAGCAGGTACTCTTACTACTCTGCCAGCCCGAAAGTGATATTATGAACATGAATTTTGTCCCTGAGATTGAACCAGGGGTACCCTGCCAACAGAGTCATGAGGAAGGTTGGAATGGCTTTGCATGGTTTTTCTTGAAGGAAAGAAACAGACTCTTGAATTGATGAGATTAAGAGATGAATTCAGAGAGATTATCTCAGCTTATTTTGTGCATCAGCTATACCTGTACTGTCTAATAGAGTAGCCATTGGACAGCCACATAGATACTGCACCCTTGAAATATGGCCAGTGTGATTGGGTACCATTTTTTTTTTCTATGAGAGAAGGTCTCACTATGTAGCCCAAGCTAGCCTTAAACAAAGTATCCTCTTGCTTCTGCCTCCCAGCTGCTGGAATTATAGACGTGCCCCACTGTGTCCAGCCTGGATTTTTGTTGTTGATTGGTTTTGCTTGTTTCGGTACTACGGTTTGAACTGAGGGCCTCACACTTGCTAGGGAGGTGTTCTACTACTTGAGTCACTCCTCCAGCCACTGCATTTTTAATTTAATTGAACTTTCACTAATTCAAACTTAAATTTAAAAAACTGAGGCAGTTTCTATATGCTAAGCACAATTATTTTGATTCTGAAATACTACATTTTGTTTCAATATTGACAATTTAGCATGAGAATTAAGATGTGCTCCAGTGCAAAATATTTACTAGAGTTCAAAGACTCGGTACCAAGAAAAACCCCAAAATGTAAATTATCTTATTGTACCTTAAAAATGTTGATTATAGGCTGAAATGATAACATACTGGGTATACTGGTTAAATAAAATTTGAAGAAATTAATTTCATCTGTTTATTTTTATCTTTTTAATATGGCTACTTGAAATAAATTTAAATTACATATGTGACTCACACTATATTTCTGAATGACACATATGGCCCACATTATAATTCTAAATTGCGTGTGGCTCACATATTTCTGTTGGTCAGTGCTGGGTAGAGGTAAGATGACTGGGGCAATCTCAGGTAATCTGCCAGGTGGTCCATGCTCTGGCCTGAGACTAATGATGGGCTGCTGCCTGCCTGCAGTTCTGCCCCCAGGGGACTCACCCTCAGCATCTGTCTGAGTAGCATTTGCTGTGTGGCCTTCAGGGAATCAATGAGCTTCCTGAGAGAGTTCAGCTGCACCTCAGTGGAAGTCGTGTAGAATTTCCTACCCTTGGCAACCTCATGCCCCAGCCAACAGAGCCTGGACAGGAGGAAATTCTCCTCCTCCTCTAGTTCCTGGTGCAGGTGCTTGAATTCCATGAGGATCCTTCTCCTCTCAAGCTCCATATGGGCCTGGGTCAAGGGAAGAGGATGCAGAGATGAGAGGGTCCTTCTAGCCACTATTCACTTTTAAGTGTATAAAGTTTATAGTGAGAACCAATGCAGAACAGCGTGCTGTGGTAGTCCTGCAGGAAAGCAGAGGTGAGAACAAACTTTAAAAACATTTCCTATGTTCTCAGTTTTGGGTTAAATTATGTTCTATCACTTTTGCCTTCAAGGACTTGGGTGTCTAAAACTCACATTTTCAGAAGGCTTATCAGTTTGTAATCTGCTTTCATTTAGATTTTTCCCCTTGGATACACACACACACACACACACACACACACACACACACAAAGGTAATGGTGTTGGGTGGCATTACAGTCTTTCCTTTTCTTTCTACCTGGAGAATCAGTCTCCAGTTAGGACCTGGGAGGAGCATAGAGCATATTTTGAAACCAGTAGTTCCCATTCTAAAACCAGTGTGTGTTTTCCTTATACCACCTGTGGGCAGGTGGAGAAGAAAAGCTGCCCTCCTGCTCTGCTAACCCAAGGTGGATGGAGTTGTTGCAGCCCACGCAGGTCAAATGCAGCAGTGCAGCCAGGGTGTGAACACATCTAACTCTGATGCCTCCTTCTATTCTATTTCTTTTCTTTCTTTCTTTCTTTCTTTCTTTCTTTCTTTCTTTTTTTTTCTTTCTTTCTTTCTTTTCTTTCTTTTATTTTCTCTCTCTCTCTCTCTCTCTCTCTCTCTCTCATTTGGGTGGGACTGGGGTTTGACCTCAGGGCCTCATGCTTGCCATGCCTCTAGTCCTTGATGCTACCTTCTAGCTCCATCCCTGTCCCTAGCCTGATCTTCCTATACACAGTCTTGCCCTGTGCCAGTTTCTTTGTCACAGGGTCTTTTTTGAGGGCAAGTGTGATAGGGGATTCTAGAAGTGTGGGTAGAGATGTTTCTGCTTCCAAGACAGGATAGAGGTTTTCCTTACCTTGAACACATACAGCTTCTGTTGGCTGTGTATCTTATCTTGAACAATTTCTTTCTCCTTTTGAAGCAAGACCTCCACATGTGACTGCATTTGCACCTCCCCACAGGTGCTTGGAGTTCTTCCTGCCTCATAACACCCTCAGGGTCTCTCAGGTGAGAGGATGAGACTCTCTGGAGGGGTAGGGACTGGCGTAATTATTAATGGAACCCCTTATTCTTTCTCATACTGGGGGAAGAGTGACGGCATGATAGAAATCTGGAATTTAGTGACCTAAATGTAAAGAATGTTGTTATTTATGACTAATTATAATTAACAGGTAGGTGGTGCTTTGGGACTATAAAACAGCTCTCAAAAATTTCCCCTCATCCTAAAAACAACTTTAAGGGATAGGTTTTGTATGTTGTTTTTGGTTTGATTTGGTTTTTTTGGAAGTACCTGGGATAGAGACTAGGGCCACACATCATGGTAGGCAAGCATGTGCCCTAAGCTGTCCTCCCAGCCTTGTTTGCCCCATTTGAAAGGAGGCACTGGTTAAAGACACAGCTCAGTGGTAGAGCATTTGCCTGGCTAGCATGTTCCAGGTCCTGAGCTCCATCCTCCGCATGGTGGTGGTTACTGGTTCAAAATGATTACTTGGAGGGCATACATAAACTCAAGAGTCTAGACTTTTACCCAATGTTAGGAAAAACACTGCTCTCAAAGAAAGCTCACAAGAAAACTCATGTCCATAGAGCAAGGTTTAATGGCAGGCCCAAACTGCCAGGCTGGCCGGGGAAAAGATGGCGCAGCCCCGAGCCTGGCGAGCAGTGGCTTTCATAGAAGGGGGAGGGTAAGGAAGTTAGTACAGGTGCAGTAGTCTCTGGTAGGGGTGGGGCTGTCTTAGAGCACGGGAATTTGTTTAAGGGTGGGGCTGCCATTTTGGCTGATTCACAAAATGGTGACATTATTGTTCTATCATTCCCCCATTTTTTCTTTAATAATGATGAGGGTAGGGGCTGAGGATCAGGAATTGGGGTGAAGCATCGATCTCTTTAACTGCTTCCTGCTGCAGCAGGCGTTGTATGGGGCAAGGTCCTCAGGCTCCTGTGGTGTCCTGGATGGGGCCTTCTCAGTAGTTCTCAGGGCGGTTTTGGAGAGGTTGGTATCCCTGGAGGTACAAGTGGTTAAATTTTTGATTAGCAATAACAGAAATGCAGTATGATAAAAGGAAAGAAGCTTAAGAATAGGAGAGCAAGAACACAGGCATTAGGATGGGCATTGGCCAGGAGAACCACTGTGAAATGTTCTCCCTAGACAATTTCAAGAGTCCTCCAACTACAGAGAGAGAAATGGGTGGCCATACATTATCTAAGACCCAAATAGGAATATTAGCAGGAGCAAAAAAAGGTGTCTGCTCAGGGACTGCATACCTAGGGATCTAAATTCTGCAAAATCCTATAACTGCCAGGAAAGCTGTAAGCTGTCTTATGGTATGGGGGTTGGGAAACAGAAGATTGGGTTGATGCATTTATGACTCAGGGAGTGAGTCTGTCCCTTTAAGGCCACACCTAGGTAGGTGACCTGTGGGAGGCAGGAGCTGTCAGGATTTAAATGTAACACTCTTGGATAAAAGAGAGCTTTAGCTCATTTTATATAAATTGACACTTTTAACTTTTTAAATGTTTGTACCATATTTAGATAAAGTATAACATAACACTGTTACAAGGTGGTCATTTAAGACACATAAGCAAATATATAAATGAACTCTGATTTAGTAGTACTTAAAAGCTTGACAAGATCAGCAGAAAACACAAATAATTTCTTTGATAAAATCTTTCTCTGTAATGAGTTTTTGTACATGTTACTCAGAGAGAACAATATTAAGATAACCTTGTTATTTCATAGACATAGAGGATTTGATTTTAGTTTGACATGACCCTAAAAATCTTTTAGACAACTCGTAGATTACATTCAACTTTAACTTTATCACACACGGAAGCTTTATCATACACTTTTCAAACTTACTTAGACCTTCATACAACATACTAAACCCTTTGATGGTTTGTTTTCATCCCTCCTATTTGAAACAATCTTTAGGATAAACCCTTTTTTACAAAATCCTTTCTTATCCAAAAACATTTATTTTTCCATTAACTTTTCAAAAAAATACATTTATTACTTATCTATATCCTTTCCAGTTGTTTACTTTGTAACTTGTATTTTAAAATTAACTTTTATAAGAATTTTAAATTTATTATAGGGGCTGGAGCAACTAATTAGTATCCTTTATTGTTTTTAGGAATAGGCATAAGGCCTCATCATTCCTCAGGCTTGAGGGGATATTGTTTTAGGTGTGGAAACTGTGAGGGATTTTTGAGTTTTATTTGAATAGGGAGGGCTGTCCTGGCTCACCCTACACTCATCTCATCAGTCCACACTGTGGAATCTCTTTGTTCCTGAAGGAGGGGACAGACGAGATAGCTGCCTGGAGGGAGGAGAATTTGAGCTTTTAATTGAGATACTGAATCCCATCCCAGCAGGGACACTGGTACTATGGGGAAAGAGTGACAGAAGAGGAGGTCTCCCCAAGAGCAGGCCAGAGGCCAGGTAAACTAGCACTCTAGGGGCTGGCCAGATTTGCCCCGAATGATAACTTTTGTCATTGGTCTGGGGACCAGGAGAAAAAGGTAAAACAGAGAAACAGGCTCCACTGTCTAGGAGGAAAATGGCCTTTTGTTTTTCTGCCATTATGGCTCCTCAACATTGATGCCAAGAAGTGGAGTGTGGCCAGGAGGCTTGGACCCATCAATCCATAGGAAGGTGGCACCTCATCTTCCATCTGGTGATGGGGCACTTAGACCTCCAGTGGTTACCCTTGCAGAGGGCAGGGTCCCAGTTGGGGGCGGGGCTGTCTCCCAGGCTGTCCCCCCTTAAGCATTCTCTGCAGAAGTGCACCTCCTGTCCACCATGGGAGCAAGTTCAGGATACAGGCCCTAGTCGGGTGGGGCCCTCTCTGAGAGCAGCAATGAGGCCATGGTTTCTCTTATCTTTTTCTCTCCTGTTAGTAAGGTCCTGGACATACAGACATAGCCATAAATACAGACATGGCTAGCTGTATTACTTCGTTCAATGGCTTTTCCCTTCAGCCACAGTCTTAGTTTTTTATGAATATCTGGGGCTGACTGTTAGAAATTTATCTTTGAGGAGAACCTCTCTCACCTGTGACTCTGAGTCCACCGTGGTATGCTTTCTGATAGGTTGTTGCTGTAAAGTAAAGTTGTTATTTTACATTGACACCTGACGCTCTGGAGAGCAAGTCTCTGAACTGTTCTGGGCCTCAGTTTCCTCACTTGAAGAATGAGGGATCTGGTCTAGGTTAAACTATGTTTTTCCACTATGAGATGGCTGAAGTGACATTGATGCCACTTATCTTCTTTACCATTTTTTATTTTTTTTAGTAATGCTGGGGAATTGAACCCAGGGCTTTACACATGCTGGGCAGACATTCTCCCATTGAGCTACTTCCTCAGCCCCAAATATTATTATTATTGTTTTTATTTTTGGCTGTACTGGGCTTGAACTCAGGACTTTCTGCTTGTAAAGCAGCACTCTACTGCTTGAGCCACATAATCATTTCCAACCTGAGTGGCCTGGACCTGAACCCATTGCTTTTCTAATGAGATAAGAGTCTGGACTAGTCACAGAGATAAAGGCTTGAATGTATTTGGGCATCAGTACGGCTGTTTAGATGTTTTTAAATATCCCTTAGATCTGATAACTGGAAGGGGACATACGATTTGTCCTCTTCCTACCATTGCCTGTTGAAGAGGGAAGCACTTGTTAAGAGGTTCTGAGTATTGGAGTGACTTAGAAGGTAGAAATTTGTATAGGGGACCTCAGTTTACTTTTTTTACTTTTATAGAAAAGGTCTATTGTAATTTAAGGAGCCCTGTGAAAGCCACTTCTCTTGGTAACCCAAGGCATACTGAGGCCAGGCCTCGGTACAAAGCTTCCAACATCTGCCAGCCAAAGATTGGAAGATGCAGGTCCCATCTAGAAAGAACAAAACGTTAGGATTCTGTCTTTTAGCTAACAGCAGGTGGCCTCTTTAATAAAGGCTATCTTTTTAACAAAGAAATCATTTGTACAGTTAGAGAAGGGAATTCAGAGGGCATTTCAGGCCAATAAGAGTGCCATATGGGACAACTAGTGTTAATATTTGGAGGGAAAAATTTATGTTGAGGCCAAAGGTATAGAAAATTCTAAATGAGAAGTTTAGAGACCACAGTAATGTCTATTTTGTTATTTCTGGAACTATAACCTCAAGCTAACAATTGGCTTACAGGGGCTGGGTCTGATGCCCTGAGGTGTGAGGTGGGGCTAGGAGCAGGACTGTGCAAGGTGCTACTCCCTCCACACACATCTGGGACAAATGACCCTGATTGCCTAGGCCTGATCCTGCAGCCGGTTGCCCCTCCCCCCCTTCCTATGTACTCTGCGTGTGTTTATTCTAGGGGAAGTGGTGGCGGGCTGCAGCCATCACTACATGTGGCTGGTGGCCCAGGATATACTGGGTCCTCTCTATGGATTTTCTTAGCTATGGCAGGTGTTTTTGCTGTGTCCAGGAGCCAGCATCCTGTGCACAGGTGCGCCTGTTTGCTTTCCCTCCTCCCCTTGTGGGGATGGAGTTAGAGCGTAAGCGTGGCAGCTGCAGGTTTTTGTAAGTGCTTTTGTAAAGCAGCTGGTTTAAAGACACTTTAGACTGAGAGGCCTGGCAAACTAGTTGGAATAACTTAAGTCATAAGTACCATGCTATAGGTCTTTCATGGGAGGCAGGGTCCCAGTAAGCCCAGGGAGGGGAAGGCAGACAGAGACAAAGGACATGTGGTGGGACCATGGAGGAGGCAGAAGTTGTGCTGACATCTTAGGTAAGGGAGGGGAAGGCAGAGCCTGGAGGCATGACACACACCTGAGGGATTAGCCATCACCTGTGTCTCTAGGTTGCTCCAAATAATTGGTACTGGCAGGCTTTCAGCAAAACAAAACCTCCACTCTCTGGTCGCCAAATAAATCCGGGGCTTTGTCTCACCCCAGAGGAAGGGAGCATGAGCTCTCCCAGAGCTGGAACTGCATTGAGGCCAGAATTGGCAAGGAGTGGCTTGCTTAACTCCATGACAGGGAAAGTTTTTCAGGAAGATAGGAGGAGATAGGTATGGTAAGCAGTGCAAGAAGTCTGTTTACATGGGGAAGGAGGAGGTTTGGGAGAGGAATTCACTGACTTAGAAACTGGTTTACAGGCTGATAGAATCTGCACAGGAGAACAGAAATTACAGAGGGAGGGTTTGATGCAGAGATAGGGAAAGGATTGGACGTAGGAAAGTTCCTTCCATTTACCAGCATGCTCACAGAGATTGCATAGATCCCTTAAAATATTGGGATTGAAAGTGCCATTAAGTGGCCATTTGGAGGCATTGTCCAGTGGATATTGGGGCCAGGCCTGATTACAAAGAAAAATGAGCTTTCATGGCTTAAGATCAGGCGTTAGGCAGAGGGGCCCAAAGTTGGCCAGGAGACATCCCATTGGGGAGTCTGAAGGAATTTGGGACGGTCCATCTCCCATGGTGAAGGCCTGACCTGAGGAGAGATATGGCAGGCATCCCCAAAATATCAGGTCCTCAGGAGAGAGAGAAATGTGGAAAAACCCCCCCAGAAGGAACGTCTTCATAACCGTGGGGTCCACAGTCCCAAGTGGGGAACCCAATTCCTGGGAGGAGAGCAAGCTGAGACCTAGCGCTAGGGTTTTTGAGGAAATGAGAGAGAGACAACAGCTCAGCGTGTGAGGAGGACTCACCGAGGGAGAGAGGACCTTAAGGGAAGATTGGCCGGTGGTGGATGGTGGTTGGAGATGCACTGGGGTGGAGGAACTTCCCTGTGAGCTATTGAGAGAGTGGCGCTTTCTAGGATTGGGGGTCCTGGTAAAGCAGCTCAGATCCTGGAGGAAAGCTGGGAGAGCAAGGTCAGTGCAAGGAACTCAACCCGATCCTGGGTTTCAGCACCAAATGTTAGGAAAAACGCCGCTCTCAAAGAAAGCTCACGATAAAACTCATGTCCATAGAGCAAAGTTTAATGGCAGGCCCAAATTGTCAGGCTGGCTGGGGAAAAGATGGCGCAGCCCCAAGCCTGGGCAAGCAGTGACTTTTATAGAAGGCAGAGGGTAAGGAAGTTAGTACAGGTGCAGTAGCCTCTGGTAGGAGTGTGGCTGTCTTAGAACACAGGAATTTGTTTAAGGGCGGGGCTGCCATTTTAGCTGATTCACAAAATGGCGACATTATTGTTCTATCACCAAATATATGAATTCTGACCATTATCCCTTCTGTCTTGCTTGCAGCATTTGCCAGACTCAGTTCTTTGTGCCTGACTTTAAACTTGCTCAAGTGCAAGGGGTGGGCCAATGGGTGTCAACCAAGTGGAGCAGTTGACAGTTCTCAAATCCCCACTAAACTCCTCTGATGGGGATAGAGGAATTCAGAGAAGGGGTCCCCCATGCCTACCTGATACTTCTGGGCAGCCTGTTCTATCAAGCTAGTAGTATGGAATTTGTGGTCTTTGGACTCACGACAGAACACACAGAGGAGCTCCCAATCTTGCTCACAGAAGTAATGGAGCCTTTCCCCATGTCTCTTACATTTCCCTTCTTCCATTTCTGGTTGGATCTCAGCAGGATCAACAGCTTGGATTTTCTCCATCAGACTTTCCAACAGCCAGTTGTGTCTAAATGTGGTCCTCTTCACAGAATTCTGGCAGAGGGGACACTTGAGAGAACTGTCTGGTGCTTTCCCAATCTGAGAGATGCATGTGAGGCAGAAATTGTGTCCACTGTCAATGGTGACAGGTTTCTTCAGAATGTCCATGCAGATGGGGCAGACCAATTCTTTCTGCAGTGTGCTGGTGAGCTTCTGGTGGCCATGACTGAGCAGTGTTGAAAGTCTCAAGGTCTGAAGTGGCCACTGGCTCTAGAGAAGAAGGAAACAGAGGAGGTAGAGGTCAGAGATTCTACCAATTAGAGGGACAAGAAGGGAGGAAACGAAGAGTGAGAAAAAAGCAAATGAATGATAGAAAAGAGTAAAATTTTAAATACAGAGAATGGTATAAAGAGAGGTAATCCTATCTCACTACTTCTTGAGAACAAATAGGTATGGTAAATGTATTTATGTTACTTATAAAATGCAGTAAATTGTCCTGAGCCTTGGGCTCATTAAACATATGTTATTAGTCAGTTGACTGAGACCAAAGTCTGCTCAAGGAGGACTTCCTATCAGCTGCAGGTAGGGAGTAGAGGGCCTGACTGGCATCTCCTGAAAGGTTCTCGACCCTTGTGGATATTTTACTTCCCCACAGCACCTGTAGCAGTTTGTTCTCTGTTGTTTTTTCCCTTACATCTTCAGACTCCCTGGCCTCAATGACAATTTACAAATAAGGAAAGCATGGTTTTGAGAAAAATGAAGTAAGTTTTATTATTTGTCAGATGAAGAGGAGTACATGCTCTGCCATGCTCCTTCTGAGAGAAAATGTTCACTTTTTAAAGGGGAATTCAGGCATTCAGTTTGTGTACATGACAGAATGCATGTTCCATAAGTAAGCTGAGTAAACTGACCAGCATGCAAACTGGCTACACCAGAAAGTGTTTCCTTTTTCAGTCTTGGTTATGTTCTTTACCTCCCCACCACCCCACTCCTATCAATTTATAACCTTCACTTCTATGGAAAAGGTGCATCACAATTGTTTAACTGCTTCCTGCCTTTAGTTAATTCATGTACTCAAATAAGGAGTCAGTGCTCCTCAGCAAAAGCAGCTTTTAAGCATGTGTTGCATGTCTGCCATTTTTTGCTTTGTTTGGTTTATATATGTGTCTTCCTCCTTGTCAGTACTTCCCTGATCCCTGACTTACTTTGTCTATAGCTTTCTTCTGAACAGGAAAATATCTATCATGTCATCTCATGTGTGCTCAACACATTCATGTCTTAACCCTTTCTCTTCCCTCTTTTCTCAGAAGACAAGAGTACTTCCTCCCGTCCCATCTGTCTGGGTTGTATCTTCTACCCTCCCATGCCTGTTGCCAGCATCTGCCCTTTGTCCCCACCAAGAAGCACATAGTCAGTTCATTTTTCTGGTTTCAATCTTAGGACAAGCAGGGATGGTGAGTGATTTTATCACTATAGCTAGAATGATTAATCATTCTGCTTTGCCTGGCACACCCTTGGGTTTCATCTCTGTCCTGGTGTAAATATCAATAGTACTTCTTTTCATTCTCAAAGATGGCCAGTAAATTATATGGTTACCCTAATTATATCAATCTTTGGAAGCCAAAGATTTTCAGAAATATAATTTTCAGGCAGTTTACCTTAAGGTCAAATTAAAACAGTTTAACATTTGTATAGGCTTTATAGTTTATACTCATTATAAAGACCTGACCCCTAGAGGCAGAGTTTAACTTTTAGACAGATTCTGTTTGATTGGTGTAGTGAGTCAACCAAAAATGACACTTTGAAGGCCTTAGAGAGGGTGGTTATTTTCCCAGCTCAAGTGGTGGAGTGCCTGCCTAGCAAGTGTGAGGCCCTGACTTCAAACTCTAGTACCACATAAACACACACACACACACACACACACACACACACACACACACATTTGTGTGCCCCGGCGGAGAATATGTTTCAAATAGGCCCATGGTGGACCTGATACTTTTCAGTTTACGTGAATTCCCAGGAGAGGTGATGCTGCTACACATTGAGAACCAGTAGTTTAGGGAGAAACACATCTTGCTCCTGCTGATAAGTGAGAGAACTGAGACTTGATCCATTCCACAGCAAGTGAGCTTTCTTCCTCAGAGCACCAACCAAAACAAATGGCAGGAAAGCCAGCAGATAGAAGGGAAGTACTCAGATGAATGCCAGTGGAGAGTTGCAGACAAGAATCATCAAATAGGTACTGACAGCTTCAGTTTTGGGATAGAGATTTATACATAAAAAAGGGGAATATGTAGTGTTGTAAAGGTGCTTTACTCTCCTGGAGTTGTCCTTATTATCCTTTGATGATCCATCCTCTGGATTGAATGAATACTTTAATCTTCAGTAACCTGATACTAAAATGCCTCCAAATTCCATTGAATGAGGTCTTAAAAGATAGATGATATTGTGTGTTAATCAGAGAGTCATAACTTCTATGTATGGAGCTTGTTAAAACTTCCTGCAGGGCCAGGCATGGCAGCTCCTGTGTATAATCCCAGCTACTCAGATACTGAAGTAGGAGGCTGCCCCAGGCAGAAGCTGGAGATGTTATCAAAAAACAAAGTAAATGCAAAAAGGGCTGGGAGCATGACTCAAATGGTAGAGAACTCAGGCAAGGCCCTGAGTTTAAACCGCAGGACTACCAATAAAATTAAAATTTAAAATACCAAATAAATCTTACAAGATAATAATTACAGATAAAAAACAAAATAGGAAGGGTGTTGCAGATTTGGGGGGACACAGATTAGTAAAAGAAATTTCTGAGACAGAGTAGGAGAAAGCAAAGATTTACTAGGATGCCACTGAAAGGGGGTAGAACGGTGGGCAGCTATGCAAAGGAGAGTGGTGTACTGAGATAGAGCTGAGAACTGTTTTATATCTGAAATTAGATGATTTTGATTGGTGTCCTCTTTTTGTGGAACTGACTGGTTGTCTCTCTTGGACCATGATTTGAATTTTACATGGCTGAGGACCACCTCCTGAGATCAGCCCCTCTTTCCTCATTCCATATGGCTCTTGGTGTTCTGTTCCCACCTTGTCTCCATAAATGGGGGACTTTCCTCTACAACAGGGTGTGAGGAGCTGGTAGTAAGACTGCAGTTTTCTTTAGGGTAGTCAAGTTGGCTGCAAAAGATGATAACCGGGCTTCCACTTAAAGGCAGTTTATAGCAAAAAGTCCTCAGCTGTAACTGCTGATTGGTAGAATTATAGCTATTTTCTTATATTGTTTACAATTACAGTTAACGTACTTGTTTTCATAATTAGGAAAAAGCCTCATGATGTGTATTATTTTTAGAAACACTTTCAGTTGGCCCCCATTTTCTACAGGGCGAAGTCTGAACTCCTCACAGGACTTCTACCTGTCCATCTAAACTTACCTTTAGTTCTCAAGGTTGTCTTTTCCATTCAGACTGATACTCTGTGACCCAGATTAGCCAAGAAGGTTTGCCAGATTTAGCAAATAAAAGTACAGGACACCAGCAAAATTTAAATTCTAGAAACACAATGAATAATGTAACATTTGAGACACTCTGAAAGTTATTTACCTGAAATTCAAGTTTCACTGAGCATACTTTAACCTACATGTGATCTCCTCCTGTCACCTGGAATACTGTAATCTCCTTTTCATTTTCCCAGATCTTTTGAATTAAACCTGAGTGTGGGGAGGAGAAGTATGAGTATGTGGAATGAAACACTGCCTGTCAATTCCTTTATTAGAATTAATCAGTGGAACAGGACAACTGTAAGTTAAAAGGGCTCTTTGTTGACCTTGGCTTGTGACTTCCCTTTCAATAAAGAATGTGCCTTTGGTCAGAAGACCCTGACCTAGGAGTCAAGTAAATAGCGAATGTCCAAAATTTTTCACAGTAAAGAAACTGCTTTGGTTATACAGGACATTTATTCAAAATTTTCTTCTAATTTAGGTAAAATGTGCTATATTGTTGTTTTTTAACCTGTGTGTTTTTAACTTAAAAGTTTCCACAGGCTTCACTTTTAAACAAAGCTTTTTTATTCCATTGGTTTGTGGTGAACTTGATGCACGGATGACACATGCAGGAATTTCAGGTGCTCAGGGTTCTTGAGCCTGCTCTGAGAATGAAAGCACAGACAGACTCTAACCGCAGATGTCAGAAAGATTTTATTTGTAGAGAATTTAGTTGGAGAAAAGAGAAGAGAAAGACTGCATATTGGAGAATGCAGGGGGACCCGGAAACCGATGATCTCCTGGGTCAGGGTGGGGAGTGGGTTTTATAGCCTTTTTTTGCATTGCCTGGGGGCAGAAATGTCACTCAGGTGCAGACAGAAGTTTCCTAGGGAGGAGAAGTGTCTCCTTGATCATTTATCACCTTTTGGGACCTCCTGCAGTCTGTCCTTCAGTCCTTCATTCCCCCCTCTCAATGGTCGCCCTAACTGCTGTTAGGGACAGGGACAACCAAGTCTGTTCAGTAACTGTTTCCTGCTGACAGGGGGCGATGAAGGGGCCCACAGCATCAGGGCTGACCACGAGAGGGGTTGTCAAGGGGACCACGGTAGTAGGTCGTTTTCATCTCCACCAGAGGCATTTGTAGTTTAATGGATTCTAGGCGAGAAGAAACAAACTTGACAAGTAAGTTTAAAATGCAAGGCCCAAACACAAGCAAGAGAATAAGAGCAACTATAGGCCCCAGAAAGGGTAGGAACCAAGTCCTGGAGGGGAGCCAGGATTTTATTTGTTCCCACACCTGAGTAGAAACCTGAGTTTCAAGAGATTGCTCCCAGAGCCATTTAGCTTGTTGGAGAATGTAATCTTCACGTTCCTCTATAATGTCTGAAGTTTTTACATATGTGCAACAGGAAATATTGGCGATGGCACATACCCCCCCCTTGCTTGGCCAAAAGAAAATCTAGGGCCAGGTGGTGGTCCATTACCATACAGGCAAGGGACGACAAAGACCTTTGCGTGTCCTTAATGGCAAGGCCTATCTGGTATTGAAAAGGAAGATAGCCTTGAAACAGGGTTGTAAAACATGGTAAACTGTCAATCAAAAGCTGTAACCTTGGACAGAGCTGTAAAACATGAGGAATTGCCCATTAGAGCCATGCAAAAGTTCAGGACCGAGATGAAAGGCACCATGCAGAGATAAGCACCCATTCCTGCCTTTCTTTGTCTCCACTTGTAAATAAACTTTCCAAAGCAGGACTCCCCTGCTGTTCTTATCTAAACCTTAGGTCTCTAACCCACTACTAGC